AGATATAAAGCAAAGTCCGAGCATGGCGCAGTTTAAAAAGCGGTTTAAGGAGATGGTTTTTACAGGGTACAGGGAAGAGGTAGTGATTTGATAGGGTGTTCTTGTCTAATATTTCCTTGTGTGTGTGGGTGCATGGGTATGTTGGTATGGGTATATATATATATTTGTAGGTTGTGTATCCTTTGAGGTGTTACCGGGGTTATTGAAAATGTGTATATGTGCGTATGTATGGATAGATAGAAACATATATGTATATTTAAATATATATATATATATATATATAAAAATACACATGACATATAATGTAATTGCAAGGAGGTATTTCTGTAGTCTATTGACTACTAGATAGTGGAAAAGGGGTGGGATTAAATAAGCTTATGCTTCTTCCTGCTCCTTTTTGAACATGAAAGTTATTTGTAGTTGTGGTTGCTCGTTTTCTTTTTGTTTTGCTTTGTTCATTTGTCTCTTTTAATTCTATGTTGTTGTACTTTTTCAACATGTTCAAAATAAAGATTCAATCAAATCAAAATCAAATCAAGAGTCACGCAACATTTAGTTGACATCAGTTAGGAACTGAGCAGCAGCTCTTTGCCCGAAAAGCCAGAATTTCTGTCCTGATATTGGACCTCATACACACGACACCAGGGCAAGACACTGTGTGTGCGCGTGTTTGAGTATTTTCTAGTTGACACCAAAACATACAGGGGGAATAATAATAATAATAATTTTTTTTAAAAATCAATAGTTAAAAGAAAGTGTGATATTTGCACTGATTGGTAGCAAGTTGATCGGTGGTAACACAAAGACAAACAGAAGGTAACACAGTATAGGGGAGAAGATCAAAGAGTGTTGTGATGCTCGAAGTATTTAATAAAACTCCATAAATTTAAGCCTTTACTTCTGACACAATTCTTCACTACGAATAAATAAAACATTTTATCACAAAGGACAGTCAGTGGCAAACATGAACATTTCCCTTAGTAAAAATACAGTACTTCAAGACTATACGTGTAGTATTCCAATATCAATATCTAATTTAATACAAGTGATTTCTTCCAACTATAACAAATAGTCTAAAGTGCAAAACAGACTTGGTCAAAAAAACATTTCATTTATAAAAAGTTCATGTTTAAAAAGAAACAACAACAAATGGTCAGTCATATTAAAGTTGCCTTCAGGTTTAATGTCCAGTGTGAACAATAAGCACCATGATTCCTAACTGTAACAATGTGTCAGATTTTGGTGTGTTTCCCAATATCCAGGCCCTCCCCTGTACACAGGAGGGACCCACAGGTTGTTCCTCAAACTGTGTGGGGCTCTATTCCGAGGCCTGTAGCTGTAGTGGGGCTGTGGAGGGATATGACCTTTTCCTGGTACCATCTTTTTGGGATGCCACATAGGAGCAGATGGATTCATTTTCTTAAACAGATAAAAAGAGGAAAAATAAATAA